CACTCTCGACAGCAGCAGTACTCCTCAAGAAAAAGGTAAATAGGTGAAGCTGTCCTCCTACAGTCACTGGGCTCAGAGTTAAACCCTGGCTTCTCCAAAAGATCATCTTATAAGTTGCATTGTGCTAAGAGGGCTGATACTTCCTTTGGCCTGCAGGAATAAAGTTTCATGAGCAGGAAAGGTCTGTCAAAGTTTGAGCGATGCCATAACCAAGCTCTGTCTAGACATGACCATCTTCATCTCAGTCCAGGACCACAGCCTTGGTAACTGATGAAATATATTTCATATTGTTTAAGCCTTAAGGCCAACAAAGATAAGCTATTCCAGTTAATTACCTGATGCTGCATGAGGGATATGGAGATAAAGACATGCCTCTGTCAAGACACGTGTCAATCAGGTTGTAGCATTATTTCACAGTCTTTTTATATTGTACTGGTAATCAAATGCTTTTACTGTATGAGAAGAAAAAGATGCAGACTGCATGTCAAAACAACCACTCAGAAAGGTTAAAGTTATCAGTAATGCACTTTATTTGCTTTGCAGTGGAGCTACAGTATATGTGAACACTCATGGGCATTAACAGTTTTTTGCTGTTTTCCAACCTTATTTGGTACCTTGATGTGAAAGAAAAGCTACAAAAGTACAAAAATAAGTCTTATGCAATTCATAACTGCAGCAGAGAGGGCAGGAAAAAAGCTGTTGCTGAGCAGTTTTACCCTTCCAGATGTTTATACTGAACTTCTAGATGTTTTTCTTACATTTATTTCTTCATTATAGTAAGTAAAGGACTGTCTTCAAACACAGTGAGACTCCTTTAAATAAAAATTTATACAAACTCAAAGTTTATACAAAAAGAACCTTCACCTTTTTTATCTGTGCCCACATTAATTTCCCAGTCTTACAGAGTAAACCACATTCCTGCAAACAAAGTGGATGATTCTACAGGCAGGAAAGTCCTAAGCATCCTTTTACTTCCCAGGAACATAAAGGGTAAACAATTACGAATTCATTGTTTGGTCTCCCTACATCCTGGGGGCTAGCTGTGGTTTTTGGCTCAAAAGGCATGCCTAGTTTTGGCCAAACAACATTGAGAACTCACCCAGCATAGAAGGCTAATCAGGATTAGTAAAATACAAATAAGAAGGGTTGTTGGTATTGTGCTTATTTGAAATTCAGTTATAAACCCTCAGTATCACAATCTCAGTCTAAATTCTAAACAGAGAGGAATGCCCAAAGATTCATATAGAGGTATATGGCAGAGTTATCCACACTGTAAAAATATAAAGTGACAAATCAGAATGGCTATTTAATGGGCTTTTAGGCAGGAGAAATCTAGGCTAACTTTCCAACAGTAACATTCTAAGACAGTACTTCTCTACAAATGCAGGGATGTACCTGAAAATACTTGAAAGACCCTAGCCTTTCATGACTGATTGATTCCAGGCCAAGGAAATCCAGACCAGAGCTAGTTTATCCAGGCCTGAGCTCTGAAATCATTAATTTGGTGCTTTCAATATTTCTTAAAACAATAGCTAGATATTGTCATCCATTTTTGGGCCAAACCTACAACTGGCCTGGACAAATGGTTTCAGAGTCTAACTATGATTCCCAGCAGAAAAACAGTTTAGTTTTGTCTTTAAATGTAACATGAGAAAAAGTGGAGAACAGAAGAGAGGAAGCCAAGTTTCAGCTGATGTATCTGCTCAGTTTCTGCCTGTTCCCTGATTGCTCATTTAAAGGGAACACATGGTGGTGGTGAAAGGCAAAGTGTTACTGAGCTGCAAGCCAAGTGAGACATGATTTTATGGCTATGTGCAGTACACAGATCAGTCCTTCCTTAGTTCCAGTGCAAAGGAAAGGCGTGGTTTAGAGAAAGAGCTTTATGTTCCTTGTTACTTTTGAAAGATTTCAAAAGCAGCCTTGTTAAAAGAAAAAAAGGGCTCAGCTATGAAATCACTTCCTTCTGTTTAAACTATTTTACTCAAGGAAAAATTGAAGAGGGCATGAAAAAAAAAAAAAAAAAAAAAATCTGTTCTCTGCTTTTGACTTGTTCCTAGGATCCAGCATCCCACCCGCTCTGTGGGATGACGCAGTGTGCCAGATCCCGACCGCTCCAGTCAGTGCGTCAAGCGGCCATAGCCCTCCCCACACAATCACCCTCTTGTCAGAGGCAGCTGGCACCCTCCCCGCACATGCTGACAGCATCACTGCCTGGAGGACTGCACCCCTTTGGGCCAGCTCTTCTCCTCTAGGAGCAAGGCAGCAAGGCATGAGGAGGGCAGGCAGTGTTAGGCAGCTACCAAACAAGAAGCTCTTGTGTTATTCCCTCCCCCTCCTGCCCACCAAACACAGTGAGAATGCAGACAGGGGAAAAGATGCTCTTCTGCTTGCAGCAGCAGCATGGCTCTGCCTGGGAGTACAGCCAGCAGGACAACTCCAGGACACCCGTTTATGGAAGTTTAAAAGTCAAATAACAGTTCACTGCTGCCCAATTCACAATGGGGTTACTTACGGCTGAGCAGAATTTTAACAAAGATTCTAAGATGAGGAATGGTTTGCCTCTCTCTGCCAATGCTCACAGGTTTACCCAGAGCCCCAGTTCTGTTTTCCTTTCAATCCCAGGGCACCCTCCCTCTCCTCCAAAATGAATTATCTTCTCTTGTGTAAAGTAAGCTGACTCAAACCAGCTCCCTTCCCCACTCAGCTGTGGGGTAGGAGAGGAGGGAGAGGGATCTTCAGAATAAACTGCTTTCTTTCCCATCTTCACTTCCTGAAAAAAGTTGGTTTCTGCCTGAAACCAGAGCATTGAGTAATGTATTATTACCCTGATTTCCACCACTAAGAAAGGCAGGGGTTATTTTCCTCCATGTTTTTGAGGTTCACTGATGTAGAAAAAGCCAGATAACATGAGATAAATGTTCAGCAAATTGCTCCATACAGCCTAAGACACTCATGAGTATCTTTTCTGCCCTTCCCAGTAGATAAATAGCTCCAGTAGATAAACTTGCAGCACCACCTTTTCAAGAAGGCACTCAGGAAGTAAGAGCCTTGAAATTAAATCTTCTGCTTAAGAAAACTTTAAGCCAGACTTACAAGTAGACTGTAAACAGTGACAGAGCACCAGCACACCTGCCTGATCAATATGCTGACCACACTGTTTGCTTGAGAGATATCTGCTGATATCTGAGATATCTGCTGCCCAGAAGTGCTTTAAAGTGACACTTAGCTTTTCTTCTTTAGAACCACTAAACAATCTTCCCTTGAAGTGCAAATTCAGCAACATGGGATGGTACTCCCCAGCTGATGGCAACTAATGAACATTTCTCATGGTGCACCTAGCAGTCTAGTAACACATATTTACAAATATTTAACTCCCCAAAAATCTCTGTGGTTATCCCAAAGCCTAATTCTCGACTTCAGTCATTTATTTCTTTTCTTATTTCTTAAATAAAAAGAATTTACACAACAAACCAAACCCATCTTTATGCCTCCCAACCACCTTTATCTTCCAATTGTGCCTCACAGGTGGTAAGGAAGTGAAAGCATTGCTGCTTCTTTGCACTACAGGCCTATGACTGATCTCTAGCTTTCCTTAAAGAGGACTGCAAAACCCAAATTTTCTTAGGATGCTTAACCTCATCTTGCCTTCTGCCATGAAAATCATGGAGATGGGGAGGGACAGATTTTTGAACCACCAGGAAATCAGGAGAGGTTTTAACAACTGCTACAGTCTCTCTAGCAAAACTATGGAAGTTCTTTCTTTCCCTGAAGAGAAGAGCAGGACATGGAGGAATACATCTTTTCAAAGGCTTAACAGGTTAGTTAACTTCACAATTCACATTCTGGTTAAAAAACAAATCACTAGGTCAGAGTGCAACATGTAAATTCTTAAATAACAAGTGAGTTGACACATTGACTCACACCGAATCTGTGCAACCATTCTGCCACTTCTGTGACAGAAAGTGCAAGCTGCAGCATAAACCTATGAGAACCATAATGTCAAGGAGAGAAATGGGGCTAAGTTTTGGGCTTTCTGGACTGCATAACAATTGCATTTATGGACTACTAGAACAACCATCTGATGCAACAGGGTACTAGAACACCTGGAGACCCATGTACTGTACTACTGGAACACCTAACAGGTGAGAACACATACTGGGACAAGGAGAAAACCTGCACCATCCTTGCTGCCTTTAGCTCACCATCATCTGCACCAACAAAAACCAGAACAAACAGCAAAGAACATCACCAGGGAACAGTACTCAGCATTTAGGCTGTGCTTTGGCATAAGGAAACTGGGAGCGCCAGACAACACCCAAGTAAAATCACGATCGGTCACAAAATGACAAGAACCCCCTGAATCCAAAGTGTGTTATGATATTTCCTTATGCCAAGCTCTGAAGCTTAGGCACCTTCTGAGCAGTGTGCTGCAGCACACCAGTATCTCAAAAGCTACTTTCTTGTATTAGCAAGTGGTCAGATACTGATACATACCAAACACTATAGGACTGAGGACATGCAGTCCTGCTTAACACACAGTCTTTTTGTGAATAACCTGTAGCCCCTCACTGTTCTCCATATACTGGAATTTCTCATGAATACACACAACACCTTTTGGCTGGCAAAAAGGATACAACAGGTACTTCAGTGGAATACCGAGCCTTGCCTGTACTATTTTGAGTTTGAAGCCATTTGGCATATTCAAAGGCAAAAGAACAAACACTGCATATAATAGGTTGCTACAAAAAGTTTTAAACATTCATTGCTGCAAAAAAACCACCACATCACGTCTGGATTTTCACCAGTTTCACGTTACAGGGCTGAATGACATGTTACATCAACTTCCATAAATAAACTTGATAGCCCCAGTAGTGAACTCAGGGTGTTCTTACTGTCTGCACCTCTTCTAGTGTCTTCCAAATTCTGCTGACCATGCATTACTGATATCACCTGATAAGAAACAGAGCAGGGAGAAGAGGGTGGGCAAAGTAAGCACTTACCAAGCACAATGACCACAGTCTTCAGGAGGCTCATCATGGTGTCCCGATTCCTGCGGGGTCCAGAACTGTGTCTGGACATTCTCATAGTCCTTTGGCGAACGTACCCAAAGATGTGAGCATATAGGACCACCATGACTACAAAAGTGACCAGGTTGAAAATAGCCCAGAAGACCAGGTAGGAGTCACTATAGAGCGGTGCCATGTTGGAGCAGTGAGTGATATCACAAATACAGTTCCATCCGACACTTGGTATGGCACCCATGACGATGGCCATAGTCCAGATAACAACAATCACAACGACCACTCGGCGGTTGCTCATCCGAGTATGGAGCTGCATTCGGAAAACTGTAATGTGCCGCTCAATAGCAATAGCCAACAAATTGGCTACAGAGGCTGTCAGACTCGTGTCAATGAGACCCTGACGGAGAAGCCAGGTGCTTACAGTCAGTCTTCTAGTGTTGGGTCCTGTGTTGAACATTAAGTAAAAGTAGGCCAGCCCTGCAAAAAAGTCCGCAGCTGCTAAGTTGGCCATTAAGTAATAAATAGGAAAGTGGAATCGGCGATTGACATAAATAGCCACCATAACCAAGAGGTTGGCCAGCATTATGAAGATGCAGACGGTAATCCCCAGTCCCATTACAAGCTTGCTGACAGTGTTCCATTCAGTGGCTAGATATTTTCCACTTCTGTTATAAAAGAAGGCAATGGTTTCATTGTAGTAGCACTGTGGTTCACTCACGGCTGTGGACTGAAAGAAGAGGGGGGGAAAAAAAAGAGAAAAAAAAACAAAACAGAATGACATCAGAACTGAAAACATATGATTGCCTTCATGGATGAGACATACACAGAGAGAGGGGAGAGGCACAGGAAAGGAACACACTTCAGAACAAATTTATTTTTTCAGACCGAATGGCATTCCACAACTCATAAGCAATTGCTCTGAGGAATCTAGTAATGGCAACCAGGTTAGCAACAACCAGAAATGGTTCCATCTGCTCTGGGAGCCAGCATGATTTCTGATGTAGTTGTAAATTGCATAGAAAATGAGCTTCTGGCCAAGCAGACCTGCTGAGAGATTCAGTTAAAGGGAAAGACTGCAATTCATAATTAAGAAAAATTAACTCTGCTAGACACCTTATTTATGTTATCAATGCACAAAACTGTTGTTTGACTGTAGTGGAAGAATAGCTCTTCAAAGAGGAAGAAATGTCTATTACATTTCTGAGCAGGTTTTAACTCATTCCATTTTCCATCATAGGTATTCCTTCTTGTCCAGTCTTAACACATGGGAAGAACACCCTAAATAAAGGTTGTCAGTATGCTCTGAGACCATGAATTACCAAGGATGACATATGTCCATAAAAAGTGCTTTTATGAACAATAAAGTAAGCATGACATAGCATTTCTATGAGCACCAGCCACGTTTCTAGAAATGGTTTGAAATACAGGGTGCTTTTAAATATAACTCCCAGTACTGTCTTATTCCAATTTGAAATAAGAGTGAGCCAAGAATAGTAGTATTTGGCTTAACTAGAGTTAAAAGCATCCAACCTTATTTCCTGCATTAAATATTGTCATGGTTATGTCAGAGAACACGACTAATTTTCTTTGTACTCTGCTGAGGACAGCCAGGGGGGCAACAAACAAGCCCATATTCCACCAGAATGTAGAACTTTTGAATAAAATTGTTGGCTTATAAGAAAATGCCTAATGAGTCTTCTTTCTCAGTTCCATTCAATTACTCAAGGTGCAATTCCCAAAAGGCAAACCTTAGGAAAAGAAGCCATCTGAATAACATCCTGGTTCCTCGTTTAGCATGGGTAGGCAACAAAGATGTAATATAATAATTAAAAAAAAAAAAAATCAAATCAAGAAACACATGTCAAAAAAGCCTCTTTCTATAAGACCTGCCTTTGCCTCTCTGCTTTTATCGCTCTGGAACTCTATCAACTAAACTTGAATTTTTACAAAAACAAGACCACAGTTTTAGCAATGCAGGTAAGAAGCCAAATCAAGGAATATATCAACAACACTAAAAGATGGTAATTTCTTCCTATTAAAAGTAAACCGTATGTTTTGGACAGCTCCAGTTACTACACTGCAGGAAGTGCTACAGCTAACCTAACCTTCTTGTTGAAAACAAAAATGTACAGAACTGGGAAACAGAATTCGTAACTTGACTCAAGTGAACATAGTATCTAATAAAGATCTCCTTAGAATTACCCAAAGTTGTTTCTGTTTCTTTTAATTTCTACGTTTGTCAATGCAATTAAGCCAATTCCAATAAAGCAATATACAAAACCTTCCACCTATATCCCAAATGGACTACATGACATTTAAATTTATGTTAAAGAAAAAGGTCTTTCTAGAAGGATTTTACCTCCAGCCTAAACATTGACCAGAAACATTTACAGGTCTAGGATAATAAAAAGTTAGAGTAAATACCATTTCTCAGCACAGAGAGTATAATACTTTTATTATTCCTCTAGGATACATCAACTTTTGGGTTTAAAGCCTTTTAGCCATAATTATTTAAGAAATTTAAAAAATTCTCATATTGGATCTGTTGCATATAAAGAAAAAAAATATTTATAAGGGACATTTAATAAAAGGAGACCTAGCTACAAGACATCTGGCTTTAATTCTTTGGTTAAAGACCTTGTAGTAATAACAGGTCAAATATAAGAACCCTTGGGGGAGAAAGGAAGTCATATGAATGAATTAGTGGCCCTTATAAAAGCTTGCCAACATCTGCATTAATTATGTAATGAACAGGACTTTTAGTGTCTGTAGGAATGTTTGGATGCAGGATCTAGTAGATATTTGTGATCTTGAATAAATTCTCTTTGCCTGTGTATTTGTCACTCTGTTTTTTCTTTCAGATGTCTGCTGCCCACACGTAATGTTCCTGCTCAACTGTTGCTCCTGTGGAAAGAGGTCTGCTACACCTGGAAAGCCATATATTTTTTAATTCAGAAATTTAAAATGTGGTAGGTATTATGCTTTTACTTTCTTTTTCCTTCTTTTTTTCTTTGCATTTTGGTTTTGTACATGGGCTTAAAATGTGAATTATTCCCTGATTGTCCAATATTCTTCCCTGGCTTTTCATTTGAAATCTGAAAAAAAAATGACAAAAAATATGACTTAGTCACAAAATTCCAAGCTAAGGTGGAATGTATGTATACACACAAGAATATGTAAAATACTGCAGAACCAGGCTTGTTCAGTTTAAAACCATGACAGCACTTGAGCAACCTCAGAGAAGTTAGTATGAGGCTCACTTTTTTAAGACAGAAAAACAAAATGCTGTGTTCATGTATGGGATTTTGGATAAGTTTTTGAAAAGATTTTGTTTTTAAGGCATTCTAATCTAAAACCTGGGATCTCCTGTAAAAGCAATCTTTTCACTCTCCACCCCCTCACCCCTCCAAAGGGAAAGAAGAGAAGAAGCTGAGTTAGTTTGCTGGCGAAAGTTCAAACAGGGGACTTCCAGATTATCAGCTTTCTTGGATGCCAATGTATATCTTAAAGGAAGGTTTTGACCTCCCAGGTCACAAACATAAAAATCCCAAGGCATCACATTTAGCTCTGATGCTGACTGGAAAGTCTCAAGCAGGAGAGAAATGTACTTTTCCGCTCAGTACTCAAAGTGTTAACATACCACAAAGGCACATGCAAGCAGGCAGACCCCATCCCCTCTCCTGCCCCTGCAGGAAAAGGGGCAGGGAAGTTTATATTTTAATTTCCTGCAGTTTAACTCAGTGTGTTTCACTGCCTGTGTAAGCCAGATGTGTGGTGCCCAGAGATTTACCTCATCTGTTCAGTATATCTCAACAGAAGTTTAAAACAAGCCAAGCTGCAAATTGCCCATGTTAACTAAACCTCTAGGACGTGTCTGTGTGGAAGAAGTAAACATTGAGTTGTAAGTCAGCAAGACAGATAAGGAAAAATGGAGTAAAAGCAGGCTAAAAGCAAAGTCTCCTATCACCAGATGAAGATGACCTGAGACACAGTTGTCCCAAATCAAAGAAGAAAATTGAAAGTACATGGAATTAAATCTCTTAATATTATGAGACATAGTTATAACCACAACACAGTGCACACAGACCAGGAAATTTGCCACCAGGACTTAATAAACAAAACTCACTCTTCTTCAGCAATTAGTGATTCAATTCATCTTGGCACTGGCCCTTTCAGGCACTATCTGCCTGGTTGTCTCCCTTCCTCTGGTTGTATGGGATCACACCACAGGGGTGCCAGGGGGAACACTGGGAAGAAGAGCCCATGTAAGCTTTCCTATATTTTGTGCCTGATTTATCTTGCTTCTGTCCCACCTCTGCATCACACCCTAAAGAACAGGGTAGGATTTGGATCCATAGCAGCTTGACCATTGTGTGTCCTTGGGAGAGAAGCCCACTACTACCTGTCCCTCCTAGGTCAGAGATAGGAGTGGAGAACACACTGTCTGCCTAGAGCAGAAGATGAGAGGGGGTCTCTGGATCCTGCCAGCTCCATGTTCAGTGACAGCTCACTTGGTGAGGGCTGTGTATGGAGAGATGCTTAGGGTAGAAAACAAACATCAAAAGTTTTAAAACAGCATTGATTGATCCTGCCTAAACAAAGCATTAATTAGCACAAGGTGCCTGAGGGGAAGATGGTCAGTTTACAAACCCCTCTGCAATCTCAGAGTTTGTAGAGTTCCTTGATACACAAAACAAAAGAAGGCAGACCACTGTCTCCCATGGGTACATCTATTTCTTGTCAAGAGAAACAGAGCAGAACATTCTCTGAACACTAAGGTCTGACTTTTACAGCACTTTTCAAACTTGTAAGCCACAAAAAAGTCCATATCCAGTAAATCTCTTAAAAATATCTTAACCCTAAACTCTCCTAACACTGCTCCTCTCTTTTTTGTCTTTTGCTGAATTAACCTCCACATCCTGCTGTTTTTTAACTCAGAACACAGAGGAGAAAAAAGCAATGAATTTTTCCAATACTGGTGTGGTAAACTAAGACTACTAAACCATAATAACTGTCTTATATCTTTACATTTAGTGCAGCAGTGAATGGAAATCAATACCATTGCTTTCAGCTTAGGTAAATATCTTAAGTTTACCAACATACCAGAAAGGGGTCAAGCTGAAAAACCTCAGGGAACTATCAACTTCAAAATCCCCAAAGAAGAGTATAAAGTAAGATTATCTTTAAAATAAGGATAAACAAGTAAGTATAGGCATAATTAAATCAATATGTAAATACTTCGTCAACCCACAACTGCTAAACATGGGGTTTACAAAAGTAAAGTTGTAACAGATGAGGAAAAAAAAAAATCCAATTTGCAAAAACAGTTGTCCATTACCTAATGCAAAACATAGACTACTTTTCAAACTGTAGAACATTTTCATGCTTTAAAATAAAAAAAGCTTTAAAATAAAGTGGAAAAGATGTGTTTCCTTTAAAGATAAAAGTAGAAGTAAAAAAAAAAAAATAAATCATGAAGTCACAAGACAAGGGTCCTGATTCATTATAGCCTTATACACAGATATATTTTTTGTCTGAACAATGAAAGGAAGAAACTCTATCACCAACATAGAATGACACCTCCTCTTCAGAATTTCATCTCCCGAAGTAACCATTCAATGAACTTAAAGATAAACCAGTATAATAAGATAGGGTGGTTCTGTCACAGCAGGTTACTTCATTTCACTACATCATTTTGCCCTTCACAAAGCTGGCAAGACAGGAGGA